CAAGAACACATCCAAGACCATGGTACAGAGTCTCCTTAGCATACTACCACCATTACTAGACTCCTGGGAGGAGCCTCTGTCTGCCCCTGAGTCTTCACATCACTTCTTCATGATCCAGAGAACCAGGCAAGAGCCTCCGGTGGGCCAGGTCTAAGGCACGTGCCAGTGGACTGGTATCTGGGAGTGGGGGCAGAATAAATGTCCCTTCTTCACCACCTCGCATAGAATGGGAGCATCTCCCAAATCCAAAGGATGATCAGGTGCTGGATAGCCACACAGACGTTCATCTCCCCTTCTCCGCAGGCAAAGGAAGTGGAGTTGGTCCCCTCTTTCTCCACCATCTTTCCGTGTGGCCACATCTTTCTCTTTCCCTATTGATGGATGGAGGATGGTATGGGAAGACAGGATGAGGGTTTGGTTTGCAAGGGTATTTTATCATTAAATGATGATGATGATAAGTTTATTGAGGTATAATTTGCTTACACTCTTTAACATAATAAATTTTCCCCAATTTCAGAAGAAAAGATTAAAGGGAGTATACTTGTAAGTACAAAATTGAAACATTATGCTAACATAAGAAACCAAAGAAAGAACTTTCTAGCTGTATCAGTCTATAAATTCTGACAAACACAAGTCATGTGAGTTACCACCATACTCAAGATGAAGAACCATTCCATCCCCCTTAAAAGTGCTCTTTTGTAGTCAAACCCCCTCACCTCCAGCTTCTGGCAATCACTGATATGTTCTATTGCTTTGCCTTTTCCAGATGGCATATAAATAGAATCACATTGTGTGTAACCATTTTAGTCTAACGTCTTTCACTTAGCATAATGCATTTGAAAGTCTATGTTATTACATGTATCAATAGTCCATTCTTTTTAAAACAATATTTTTATTATTTCAGATAGGAATGGAGGGGGAGAGAGAGATAGAAACATCTTTTTGAAAAAATACTTTTATTGATTTCAGAGAGGAAGGGAGAGGGAGAGAGAGATAGAAACATCAATGAGAGAGAATCATTGATCACCTGCCTCCTGCACACCCCACAGTGGGGATCGAGCGTGCAAACTGGGCATATGCCCTGACCTGGAATTGAACCGTGACCTCCTGGTTCATAGGTCTATGTTCAACCACTGAGCTATGCCAGCTGGGCTATTCCTTTCCATTGCTGAGTAGTATTCCATTGTATGAATGTGGCACAGTTGGTTTTTCCATTCACTCCTTGAATGTGCTGTTACATCTGATGTCATAGGTCTGTCTAACATCTCTTGAAAGAGGTTTTAGTCTGTTGGACAGAGAAATTGGTGCTCTTGTGTATGATCTCTACCCTTTAGTCATGCTCTGTTGCTATCTTTATATCTCATGAAGTATGCAAAGTAGAGTATTTGCACAGAAAATGTGTATTTTCTTTCTTTCTTTCTTTCTTTCTTTCTTTCTTTCTTTCTTTCTTTCTTTCTTTCTTTCTTTCTTTTTTTTTTTGCCCGCAAGCATCAGCACTAGATTTTTGTCTGTTCTGAATACAGGTCTTGTTTCTGTCTCTTATTGCACTTTGAAACAAGTTTAAACATTTCTTGTTTTTTGTTTGTTGTTTGTTTTCTTTAAAGAAAAGTCTGGTCAAGCATCTCTAAAGGAACTTTGTTACTGTCCTAATATTATGACTTCTCTATTGAATTGTAATTATTACATAAACTAGGATGCCAGGATTTTAAAATCTCTTTTAAAGTACTGTTTTCAGTTTAAAATTGGATTTGTTCCACTAAATGTCTACGGTAATAATTTTGTGATAGCTATGCCAAGAGATCTATAGTTATTTCATAAACACTGCACTCTGAAATTCAGGTTGGAATGGAGGAGAGGGTGATTTGAAATAATTACGTGATAGGAATGTCTGAATTTGTAACCTCTGTACACCTTTGATTTATGATTTGGTAAGAAATAACTTTCAAATAAAACCTTCTTGAATTTCGTAACCTCAGTTGAAACTGTGGGGTACTGATTACAGTGTTGAGATTTTTCTCTCAAATTTCAAAGCTGACCACTAGGGCTGGCTAGGTGAATTAGTTGTTTGCATTTTAATGGGGGCGATCTTAACTTATATCACAACCACAGTTCTTGTACTTAGCAAATGGTCTCTGCAGACAGTCCTTAAAGATAATAGATTCTGGTATCTCCCTGCTTTATTTATAAATAAATGCAGTTTCCATAAAAATCTGAAAAAAATGTATTTTGGAACCTTGATCAGATGAACTTAACTTTAGTTCATCTGAAAGTGAGTAAATATAGCTAAGAGATTTTTGGAAAAAATTAGAACAATGAGGAGCATTGTTTACCACCTAGCAAACTGTGCTTTAAAGCTATAGTAATTCAACCAGTATGGCACAGGAATTGACAAGTAGACCAGTGGAACAGAGTAGGGAATCCCAAATAGGTCCATATATGTCTGGAAATTGGGTGTATGAAAAGGAGACATTTCAAAACGAGGATAAATGACAGTCTGTTTAGTAAATTTTATCAAAATAGCTAAAACTTTTTAGAGAAGAATATAAAGTTAGGTCCTGCCCTTAAATACATAAATACATTTTGGGTGGGATAAAGAGCTAAACATAAAACTGAAATCTGTGAATGTATTCAAAGAAAACAGACTATTATCTAGGGTGGGGAAGCTCCAATACTGTAAATTCAGGAAGTCAGGAGAAAAAGAGACGGTAAACTTACCGAAGACAACACACAGATAAAAGCTGAAAGTGTATGAAGGAGTGATTTTCACGGTTTACTCAATAGACTTCACCATACGAGCTTTCTGTAAGAATGTAGTCACGAATTGCATAGTTTTCTCTATGTGGTTAACATAGCATGTGGACCATGACAGACACACATATAAATTATAGTAGCTATTATTGCTTTTAAACCCTTTCCTCACAGTGATTCACATTGTGGCTTCATGTGTAAATGTGTGTTGTTTTTTTAAATTCTCTTATGTTTTGAAAATCAGGATTCCATTCTGTTGATAAATGCATAGTGACTGTTGGCTAGAAATACGCTACACTCTGGGGTAGAACGTGGGGGAGGCAGGGACAAGGGATTGCAAAAGAACTGTGAACCTGCTTTAAGGTACACACGGTCTTGTTGATTGGCATGGCATACACATGAAAACCACTAGTGGCTAATCCAGCGGTTCTCAACCTGTGGGTCGCTACCCCTTTGGCGGTTGAACGACCCTTCCTCAGGGGTCGCCTAAGACCATCCTGCATATCACATATTTACATTACGATTCATAACAGTAGCAACATTACAGTTATGAAGTAGCAACGAAAATAATTTTATGGTTGGGTCACCATGTATTTAAAGGGCCAGAAGGTTGAGAACCACTGGGCTAATCTAATCACCAAGTGCCAAGTCAGGTGTGATCAGTCTGTGGCCAGGTTCTGGAGGATGCCCAAGACCTGTATCCTGTGGAACTTCCAGAGAGGACCTGCCTCTCCGATGGTTTGGGGCGGGGACGGGGGGGGGGGGGTGGGGGAAGGAGTCCAGATGGGTCCTGAAGCTTCTTCATCTCCATTCCTAAATGTTATCCCTTGTACACTGGAGCCAGTCACATCTCCCTTCCCCACCTCTCAAGTTTGCAGTGGTCATATAGTGGTCATACTTCTACTAATAGTGACTCTCGTGAGATGTAAAGACATATACCGAAGTGAGGTAGTGTTAATAATAGTAACAGGGCACTAAACTGTCCTGTCTAATGTTAACCCCGCAGTCCTGAGGGCCTTTATCCCTCCACAGATTCACTTTCCCAAGCACTGCTCTCTTGACCTCTCCCCTCCATACGAGGCTGTAAATCCTTACACAATGATGTTCGGAGTAGCAAATAGGGAAAATAGCCCTGTTAGATGAAGGCACCCATTAGAAATGTGGGCATGTCTTAGGGAAGGTATGAATGGGGGCTCCTCCTTCACAGGAATTTTTAGGTGGGGTCTGAGCAATGCAAATGACTTGTCTTTTTTTTTTTTAATCTACTTATTTGTAATTATAATTCACATACAGTACTATATTAGGTTTAGGTGTACAACACAGTGATTCAATATTTGTATACCTAAGGCATACAATAAATCTAGTAACCATCTGTCACCATACATAGTTATTACCATGTTATTAACTCTATTCCCTAAGCTTCCCCGTGATTTGTTTTATAACTGGAAGTTTGTACTTCTTAATCCCCTTCCCCTTTTCCACCCCTTCCCTCCACCCCTTTTCCCTCCTGCAACTGTCAATTTGTTCTCTGTATCTATGAGTTTCTGTTTCATTTTGTTTGTCCACCTGTCTAGAAGTCTTTTATCCTATTGTGTGACACGTCTGTCCGTATGGGCTGACAGGATGGCTATCCATCTCCAGTGCTGTGGGAAGAGGAAGGAGCTATCGCCAAGTTAGAACGTGAGCCCTGATAAACTGTCAGATGATAGGAGCAAGTACTAAGAGGAAAACTAAGTTTGTTCCAAACTTTAGGGTCCTTTAGAAACCTGTGTGAAACATGGATAACACAAGTTGACATCTTTATTGGGTTTGTTTGCTTTTTAAAAAATCCTCTGAAGTGTGTTCAGTGAGGAGAGAGGCTGACATGGCTGTTGGCTCTGACCCAGGGGGAAATAACCAACCAGTGGTTCCAGCTCTATAAAGCTCCCTGTACCACCAGATCCCACCTGCAGGCAGGAGGTCGCTCATCACAGGCCTGTGAGTTTCCAACAGCTGGCAAAGGTGTTCCTGGTTCATGGAACTCCTTTGCTGTTGTCAAAGGTGGTCATGGAGTCAACTTCAAATGTGTGGCTGAAAATCAGAAAATAAAATAATTGCTAAGCATTTTCCCTCCAAAATGGTTTAAGAATCTCAAGCGGGTCTGAACAATAGGAAAACACTTGGTGTTCTCATGACTCCCTGAGCAATTCTAGCCACACAAGTGGTTCTGCCCTAAAATCACCTTCCCTGCCTGGGGATGTCTTTGTTTGCAGCGCCTTTAATGAGTCATGAAGACGAGAAGTATGGGGACACTCGTGACTCACATTAATGAGGAACGTGACGGGGTGGTTCTTCTCAAGATGGTCTTCAGATCTCAGCCCACTCATCTAATCAAGAGCCATAAATAGCAGCTGTGTCTTGTTCTAGCCAGAGTAGCTGCTATTTATTGGAGCAAAGACTACGTAGTCACCCCTGCAATGTATTGTTTGAGAAGTTATTAAAAGTTGCAGCTACAAATCTCTCATCTTGTCATCCAGATTCCAAACATCATACTTTTAAAAACACAACACGACATTTTATATGCTTCAAATGCAAAAATTCTTAACATCCAGGAATTAAGATGGCAGGGTTTTGTTTGTGTTTTTTTTTTTTTCTATTAACTCCAAAGGTATCACAAGGTAATTTTTCTCTGTATTTTAAAATACATATTTTAAATATTTTTGGATGATGTATTAGTCGGTACATCATCTTTGTTCTAATGGATTAATCTGAAGTAAATGGAACTGTGTGCATCACTTATGAGGTTGGGAAATTCGTCTGGATAGTGTTAAAGTACTTTGATAGCAACATAATATATTTATTTAAAATCACTTGCCTATGTAATCATGCAAAATATCATTAAATTATTTTAAGCAGATCTTGGAGATTTTGCAAGATTGCATCTTATTGTGAAAGAGTCAAAAAGTCTTGGAAGAGCTAAGGGGAGGGAAGGTGGCTGTATTCATTTCCTAGGGCTGCCAGAACACAGCACCACAAATTCAATGGTTTAAAAAGGGATAGCAAACCGTTTTTCTGCCAAGGGCCATTTGGATATTTATAACATCATTTACAGGCCATACAGAATTATCAACTTAAAAATTAGCCTGCTATATTTGGTTAAACATTTAATTAACTCATCCCTAATGCCTTGGCAGGGCCAGACAAATGATTTCATAGGCGTTATACCACCTATGACCTATACGTTCCCCACTCCTGGCTTAAAACATCAGAAATGTGTTTTCTCATGTTTCTGGAGGCTGGTAGTCCAAAATCAAGTTGCAGGCAGAGTTGGTTCCTTCTGAGGGAGGTGTCCCGTGCCTCTCTCAGCTTGTTGTGGGTGATCCCCAGCATTTCTTGTCTTGTAGATACATCACTCCTGTCTCTACCTTCATCTATCACCTTCTCCTGTGGGCCTCTGTCTGTTTTTTTCTGTCTCTTATAAGGACACTTTCATTGGATTTTGGATTCACCCTAATCCAGTTGATCTCATCTTAATCCTTAACCTATTACATCTGCAAAGACCCTATTTCCAAATAAGGTAGCATTCTGAGGTTCTAGGTAGACATCAATTTTAGGGGGATACTCACTGTTAAGCCCAGAGACTTTCCATGTCAAATTCCTGGCCTTTTTTTATCCACTCATCTATTGATGGGCACTTGGGTTGTTTCCCTAGATTGGCTATTGTAAATAATGCAGCATTGAACACAGGGGTGCATATATTCTTTCAAATTATTGTTTTGGGTTTCTTTGGATATATACCCAGAAGTGGAATGGCTGGGCAATAAAGCAATTCCATTTTTAATTTTTTGAGGACCTCCCATACTGCTTTCCACAGTGGCAACACTAATCTGCATGCCCACCAACAGTGCATGAGGGTTAGGCCAGTTCCTCTTGTAGAAGCTTCTGAAGTAACATATGCTTCTGTTGGAACATTTTTCATATAATTTAGTATCATTTTAAAAAATTTATATTACATATTTTCATTTTTATGTATTAGCATATTTATTATTTTATTAAATATTTACCCAATCCCTAGTAAATTTTAATATCATTTTATGTATTACTATTTTTATTATATAAAATTTTATTTCAATAATATTTATATAATTAATTATGTAATTGACATTGATTTTTAAAATTAATTTCAAGTTGACTGTGAAACCCGTGAGTGCAGGGACCAACTGCCTTCTTTACCACTTTGTCGGCACTGAGCCCAATGCCTACACTCTATTTTTTAAAAATATATATTTATTGATTTCAGAGAGGGAGAGGGAGAGAGAGATAGAAACATCAATGATGAGAGAGAATCATTGATTGACTGCCTCCTGCATGCCCCCTACTGGGGATCGAGCCTGCAACCTGGACATGTGCCCTTGACGGGAATCAAACCTGGGACCCTTCAGTCCGCAGGCCAACACTCTGTCCACTGAGCCAAACCAGCTAGGGCATGCACTTAATTTTTGAACCTATTTCTTTATATTATCTCCTTAATTTTCAGAAAAAAAATGTTGTTTGGCACAAGACTGACTGACTCCCTTCTTGATCTGCTATTGAATGTCTCACCGGGACCTCCCCTTTCGGGGGGAGGGTGCTGGGGCTGTTGAGTGCTGTCTCTCTTCAGCCCCCACATCTGTCCGTGGAAGCTGCAGAGAGGTCTGTGGCTGGGCTCAGTGGTGTCTGAGGGACATCTATGTGTTGTCTGAAATCCAAGGTAGGACATTAAAAGGCAGCTTCAATTAGATCCTGTTGGGATTTAAGAAAAGAATGAAATCCGACAATTCACTTTTCTTATTTCTTCTTCCTCCCAGTTACTTTCTACCCTTCTGTCCTTCACCTCTGCCCCCGGGGGTCATTTAAACTTTGAAAAACAACGTTTTCTTTAGACGGGGTCTGTAGACTCTTTGAGCTGCAACTTGTCAGCCATTTGAAACGGTCCAAGTGAGAGGCCACTTTGGACTTAGTCACATATTTATTTATATATTTTTAGGATGTTTTGAATGAAACTGGACCTGATATGCTTTGTGCCTGGTCATTTAAATCGGGCTCTTTAAGAAACGGCTGTATTGAAACAGATCTGCTTCCTCACACTTAACTTTTTCTCCTTACCTCCTATCTGGGATCCTCTCCTTTTGCTCAAAGTACTGGGAGGAGGCCCTTTTGAGAGCAGGTGGTGGCAATAATACATAAATCCTTTGAGGAAGTTAGACCAGGAAGGTAATAAATAAATTTCACCTTGATGCTCTCAGCAGGCCATAAGGAGCTCCTTTTAAAAGACTGCAATACGTCTCCTTAGGAGGAAGTCACTGAAGAGAACTCAGGATGCAAAGTGTTCGTTAAGAGCAACAAAAATCCCTAGTAATAGGGTGTTGCTGTGTTCTTGACAACACATGTTCTGGGTCTTTCCTGCAGCCCGTATGCAGCCCTTCAGTATCTGGAGAATTCGATGCCCAACCCCTGACCCAGGACTGCTGCTGTCCCCATAGAGCTCCAGCCGGGGGGAAACGGGTGCAGTTTGCAACCCACCTCGGGGAGCTCAGATGTCCCTGTATCTGTGAGAAATGTTTGAGTTTAAATGGAGCAGTGCCACCGTGGAAAACGCATGTGCTCTCCCCCCAGAGGTTGGAGGAGGTTTGAGGAGGTCCTCGGGTCCGTGCTCTTGTTTCTCCCCGTTTGCAGATCCTTCCAGATCACACTCTTCCTGGTGTGCAGTTCAAGAAAGACCTTTTGGGGTGTTTGTTTTTCCAGGCAGCTCATGGCTCTGGTTTTGTTTTTGGATGTTTTCCGTTTGCTCTGAGTAGGAGAGTTCCAAGTCTAGTGTGTGCTGTCTGCCAGCTATTTCCTGTTGAGAACTCCTGAAAGGAAGTGAGTTCCTAATATTCTAAAACATGCTTGCGACCCCAGTGCCCACACCTGCTGGCAAAAGCAGAGGAGCCGACTACTCATGCCAGCAGGGTTTTCCCCTGGAGTTGAAATTGTGTGTCTGCAGAGACCCTCTCTAGACATTTAAAAAACATCATCATGTTGACCATCTCATGGCACTGTAATATGCTGGAACATTTACTGTTAAAACAACCAGGCTTTGGAAACCCCTGCCTCAGAAAAGTGGAAGACGCCCTTGTCAAGGAAATAGCTGAGCCAAAAGGGAGGGTTGTCATCCAGATATTTGGATAAATGCAGGAAAGGTAGGTCAGGGAGAAGTGGATGCTGGCAGAGGCAGTCTCTCTCCTCGCACACACGTGCATCTGATTTATTCATGGCAGTTGCTTATATCAGTGTGAGCAGTGCACATATTTTACAAAATATTCAGGGGTCAGCCCGTGTCACAGCTTGGTGGGATGGGCAGCCTCCCAGACTCCACCCTGAGTTCTGGGGCCATTCCAGGACCGCTGGGACCATCCGGAGTTCAGGGCAGGCCTGAAAGCTTGTAATTGCTCTGGGAGCTGGGAGTCCGACCCTGGCCAGATGGACATGGAGGTGAAACAGGAAGCCATTGCTGATCTGTGTTTTGAAAGACATCTGTCTTATCTCTCTAGCAGACAATAAGGCCTGCCGTTGGTCAGAGTCTGTGCTGATCGACTACATTAACCTTAACCTTCCAGCACACACACACTGTGCTGGTTGTCCACACTAGCCTGATTCCCAGCTCCCTCCCCTCCCCTCCCCTCCCCTCCCTCCTTCCCTCTCCTCCCCCCTCCCCTCTCCCCTCCCCTCCTCCCCTCCCCTTTCCTCTCCTCTCTCTCCTGAATATCTACACTAGCCTGATCCTCCAACACATGGGCGCACACACACAGCGCCACAAGACCCTCAGAGGGGCCAGACAGGCCAGGCTGTGTCGAAGGCACATTTGCCCCACCTCTCCACATCTTTAGTTTTCGAATCTGTTTCTGACTCTCTGCCTGAACTTGCTTTTTCCAGAGATTCCTTTTTCCCGCCTTAACCATGACTCTCTTTGACCCGTTCTGACCACAGACTCGGCTTTGACCACTCTGTTCCATAAGTTTGCCGTCTCAGGATTCCATCCAGGACAATAGCTGGCCTATGATTACCCAGCAAATTTCCAAAGGGTTGAAAGGAATGATCGTTTATTGGCAATTACCATGTGCCAGACAGGAAACCAGCCAGCAAAACAGCCTGCTTAGTTCATTATCCAATTTAATCCTCCCCAACCCCATTAGTTCATGAGACTAAGAGATTAGTCTAAAGTTGTGTCCTGCTCAAGGGGACCAAGTGACAATGCTGACACCTGAACCAAGAGTAATCTCACTTCAGTATCACGATATCCAAATATATTTGGAGACTTTTGGTGAAGCTGTTTAGGTATTGAGTAGAGAGGGTCCCAGTCTGAGCCTTCGCTATTGGTTTTTCCTGCTATCAGACAACAGACTCAAAGGAACTCCTTGTGAACACCATTCATCCAACTTGACTTCTCAAGAATGCTCTGCCGGCTGCTGCTATGCCCAGTGAAGCTGAGTCCTATT